AATATACAGGAGTCTGGTAAACCAGAAATTAGCCACTTATCTCTGGGACATACTTGAATTTACTTCACACCTGTTGTGATTAGTATGACTCTACATGACCCTATGTTTTTGTTCAACCATTACTATTCAAAATCCCATGAAGGAAGTCTCATTCAGCTTGCAGATCCTCAATATGTGCCTGATCCTTGACTATTTCTGAAGGCTAGGAGAGGAATATATTCCCTTTGGTAGCAGTAATGACAGAAAGCTTAAACAGTACATGTATTGGTAATTCCTTCCAATAATTCAACTCATACAAATAAATATGAAGTTAATTGTTACCTAAATTGACACATGACCACTGTAGTATCTACATTGCAATTTCCAGACAAAAGAATCTTACATTCTCCAGAAGGGAACTAATGTTCCATATATGCCCCAGAACACTCTAAGATAAAATGCTGTCTCATCCCCTTAGAGTGAGTGTTTCCTAAAGGCATATCTCACACAAATATTCAGAACAAGGCCCCATGAAACTGAAGACTGTGTTTCCACACAAAATCATGAAGGTATTCTTATTCAGTTTCTTCTTAAATTTTTATTATTTTAGCATCTCAGGTCCTTGATCCATTTTGAATTTTTTAAAATATTGTGAGTTGTTGGAATTAGCCTCATTTTTTTTTTTTTTTTTTTTTTTTTTTGCTTCTAGTTGTCCTCCCATCATTGTTGAAAGTCTATTGCTTTCTTTGGTCAAATAACCCAAATTTTTCACTCTCTTGTCAAAAATTGTTGGACTATAAATCCGTGGATTATTTCCTGGCAGTTTTTCATTTCCACCTTTATGTATAAAGATAGTTTTTGCTGACAACTTTGTTTTGTTGCATTATTATTGTTGTTTTGTCTTGTTTCCACTATTTTTAAAGTGATATTCTAATGCCTCTACTTTCCATTGTTTTAATGAAGAGTCAGCTATAACTATTTCTTGTAAGAAACATCATTTTTCTCTAGCTGTTTTTGAGTTTTTTCCGATATTTTTTCCTCAGTGCATTTACTATGGTGTGTAGGGATGTGAATCTCTTAATGTTTACCTTAGTTTGAATTTATTGATCTCTTTATTTTTTTTTCAGGGGCAAAAAATGTTTATTGATTTTGCCATGTCATAGGGACAGAAGACACCCAAAGAGAAACAATGCTACCATTTTGGATATAATTTGGAAAATATTGATCTTTTAAATAGGTAGAATATTGTTTTTTTATCATATTTAGAAATTTTTCAGTTAATTTTTCTTCTTGTTACACATATGCTAGTGTGCTGACTAGCATCTCAAGCTTTTCTGAACATTTAGTCAATTATCTTTATTACTTTTTTCTGAACCCTTTAGATTGCATAATCTCTACTAATCTATTTTACTTGCTGATTCTCTTGTATTCCAATTCATACTGTGGAGTCCTCTAGTTTAAACTCTAAAATCTCCACTTATTTCTTCTTTAAAAATAATTTTAGCTACTCATTGACATTTTATTTGATAAGATACTACTTTACCTTCTTTTATTTCTTTTTACTTTTTTTATTTTAAAGCATAAAATTAAGCACAACAAAAAAACAAAACAGAATATTAGAAAGCAATGTAAGAGATATACATTTCAAAGCAAAATAATCAGAGATCTTCACTATCTATTATATGGTCTCTTTTTTTCTTCTGAATAGTTGTCCATATCTTCACATACAGAGAATTCACATGAAACAACATAGTATAAAACTGATCTCAACAGGATGAGGAAGGCATTTTAGATCTTCAAGACCAGGCAACAAGCAGGTCAATAATGGCTGTCATACTGTCTCTCATTCTCTTCAAAATAGCTGTCCATATCTTTATGTATGTTGAAATTATACAAAATAAAATAGGCTAAAATCTCTAAACAAAGAATAATAATGTTGCTGGATTTCACATCATGATGCTACAGAATCAGCACTGGGTACTGTAGTGTCTCTTTTTCTTCAAATTATTTGTTCATTTAATCATGCATTGTATGATCTGTTCTCATAAACTGCTTATAAGTTCTATGTATGCATGAATCTCTACATATATTTCTATCCTTTCTATGTTAGAGGGGAAAACACAGCATAGCAAAACAAAATGAAAATTCCTATAAACACATGACTTGAAAAAGTCATACAAAACCACATTACAAGGTGATCTACAATGGTTATTGTGTTATCTCTTGTTATTTTCAATAGAATTGTCCATATCATCAGGCATAGTATAACTGAATATAGCAAGATAGAACAATATTAATAAAAGAAAACATGTAGGCAGTGTAAAACCCCAAAAGCAGGTAATAATGAAACCAGAGTGTGTATCGTAATGAATCTTGTCATCTTCAGTGTAGTTGCCTATACTACCAGACTTGATACTATCAATCATAACAGATTTGAATAAAATTTTTCAATACAAATAGCAATCTAACAAACCAGGTTCAACTAAGATCAGTCATGATAACACATTGTAAGTTATACAGGGCTTCAGATTAAGTTAATAGGAAATTAAGGATAAACACTATATTCTGCTATTTGGGGGATAGCTTCTGTGCCCTCAAATATACTACAAGTAGACCAACTGGGACATAATATAATCCATCTAAACAGAGCTGTGTGAGCAATGTGGGTTTTAAATCCATAGTAAATATACTATGCCTGATGATATAGACAATTGTACTAAAAATAACAAGAGTATCATAGAAGCTACTGTAGATCGCCTAGTATTGTGGTTTTATATGTCTTTTTGTTTCGTGTTTTTCTAGGAATTTGTGTTGTTGTCTTGTTTTGATTTGTTTTTCCCTCTAATGCAGAAAGGATAGGTATATATGTAGAGCCTCACGCATGTGTAGAACTTCTAAACAGTTTACGAGAGTTGATTACATAATGCACAATGTAACAAACAGATACTCTGAGGAAGAAACACTAAGATACCCAGTGCTAATTCCATAGCATCATGATATAAAATCTAGCAATACTATTATTCTCTGTTCAGAGTAGTATTAGTCTGCTTTCTTTTGTTTAATTTCATCATATGTAAAAGATATGGACAGCTATTTTGAAGAGAACGAGAGACATTATGGAAGCTATTGTTGACTTCCCTATGGTCTGGTTTTGAAGACCTAAAATGCCTTCATCTTCCTGTTCTGATCAGTTTAATACTATTTTGTTTGGTATGAATTCACTGTGTGTGAAGATATGGACAATTATTTGGAAGAAAACAAGAGACAATATGATAGCCATGAACATCTCCAGGAGTCTTGCTTTGAAATCTGCATCTCTTACATTGTTTTCTTATGCTCTGTTTTGTTCTTTTTGTTCTATTCAATTTTACCCTATTGAAAAATTTTTAAAAAACATTAAAAATAATGGTAACTAGAGATGTCTGTTGGCAAATTATTATGATCAGTGGTCTGGAAACATGTAAAGGAGGAGAGATGTTTGGTTTATTCTGGCAGAAGTCCCAGGGAAGAATCCCCAGAAGAATCTGCACCATTTAAATAGGAACCAGATTGTGTGCTTGTTAGTTAAACTCAAGAAAATGCCTTCTTGATGTGTGAGGCCAATGAAACATGGATTTATTTGCTGCCTGCTTTGAGTGGGGAAAAGGAATTAAGTACATTGAGATCAGAGTCACATTGCCTTTCTACTCATGCCTTATGCATGGGAAGCACTTCTGCAGAGCAATCAATTATTTCTGGTGTCTGAGGGGTAAAGATGAGAAAAAAGGAAAATAGAGGAAGTGAAGGAAGGACTTCAATACATGAGGCCCCATAAATTTAGTGCTCTCTCTCTAGGGTATTGTTCTATTACCATTCTCCCTCCTTCTGTTTTACTCACAAGAACTTTCATTTTCCTCATTCAAAGTACATCCCAAAACCTTCACAGAAGCAGCAGATGAGCCTTAGTACTTCTGGTCTTCTGGATTGGAGGCTCCAAAGGCAACTCTCTTATGACCTTATTCTGGTTTTCATCCTAGTTAAGTCTTTATCCCATTATCCCACATGCCAGCATGCTTTACCTCTGTTTAGTATCTGATTTGAAGGTCTTTCAGGACTGTTCCTGCAACCAGGGTGTCCCTTGTGATTACTCAAGTGTTTTAATTTAGTCAATTGTTATCTAAATATGGCGTGCATGTCAGGCATTGGTAACAGAGAAACAGAGAAGGCAGCTCCTGCTAGCAGGGAGTAGGGATTTCTTTCTTAGCTCTACAGGCCAGCAATGTTTCTGAAAAGGGAACACCTAAAGGTGCAGAATTGTATTTAGATGATTGTGTATCCACTTTAGGCATAGCTAACATGGGATAATACTAATTCTCATGATAGATGGAGAAAATTGTTTCCTTCTATGAAAGGCTTTTCCACAGGGTCCACAGGATATTGTATACAACCTCCGTTTCGCATTTAAGAAACAGAAGAGTTTGTGAATATTTTACTCTCCATCTTGCTCTCATCCTGAGGTCCACCCACATATTTCTCTATGCTGGTTACACAACAGGTTCACAACTGCCTTAAGTAAAAAGAAGCAAACAACTGATCCAAAAAACAACAACAACAGCAACAATAAAAAAAATAAAAACAAACAAACAAAAAACCACATGAATTGAACTTTATTTTCCTAGGTTTTTGTTGTGAAATATCCAGGGACATCTAATGAACATCTAATGGACATCATTTGTTGTGAAATATCAATGGACATCTAATATCCATTAGAATGGTATGTAGTCTGTTTCCTTCAACAAACATCAAATGAGCATTTTCTCTGTGTCAGGGCCAACATCAAGCTCTAGGAATGAAGAAATGATAAAGATGAAGTCCCTGTCATCAAGAAACAATGCAGGACATAAGATTTGTATCTAGATCACTATGACCTACAGACACTACATGGGCTATAAGAAACATCTGTAGAATTCAGCAGATGTAGGGCTCTGACGTGCTTAAGGAACCCAGCAAGTCTTGTGAGGATCAGGACATCAAGTCACAGTGAGATGGAATGAACAACAAAAGTCTTTTTCACACTCTGCCTTCACTTCTATCTAGGAATTCTGACAGCCTCAGCTTCTGATAACTCATAGTAATTTCTTTGAATCATATTCCAGCTGCTTGCAACTGAGGAATCCAGCCCTGTGAACTGTGACACATTGGGATAGATCATCTGCTGCACTGCTGCTCTTCAATAACATATAGCCTGAAGCTTCAACTGGAGGACATATAAAAAACCTTCTTCCACCTTGTCCACAAGGCTTCCAGACTCCTGGATGGCTTGTTCATTTGTCTTCTTCTAAGGTAAGACTACTTTGGTATAGTACAATACCTGAATGTCCCATAAGCTCTGTGAAGGCAGCTTTAACACTCCTATTGTCTTCCAGGGAGTAGACAGGTGAAGTAAGGGAGGTTTAGGGGAAGGATGAAGAAATCCCTGTAAAAGGGCCCAAATAATCTAGTATGAGACCAAGCCAGAGAGGCCAGAAAAACCAGAGCAACAGAAGAAAGATGTGCTGAGTTGGAGATCTCAGACCTAAGTAGGACTGAGTAAGGAAGAGCAGAGACTTGGTTCTCCTTTATGACTGACCATGGCAGACACTGGCCTTGGCAAAGTGAACCATCACACCAGCTTAACATATTTGTGGTTTGTTTTATATTTTTTAAATGGAAGAGTAAGTATTAGTGTGAGAATTTCTACCAGAATCTATCCCCTAAATGTTTAGATTTTTGAAATTCATTTTTCTTCCCAGGGATGGCCTCTAACAGGTTATAACTGCTAGGCTATCTTGAGGACAGCTAAAGCTTCTGAAGAAGACAGAGAGACATCCAAACAATCCTAGTTCATCTTGTAACCATGTGTTACATATTTCTCTTCTAGATCCAGCACATTCACTGAGCAATGTCACAGCAGAAGCAGCAATCTCAGGGGGTTCCAGATGCTCCCAAATGTTCTCCTCCCCAGTGCCCAAATCTCTACATAGCTCCCTGCTCTGTTCCTTGTGGAGCTCCCATTTCAGGAGGTTGTGGTTTCTGTTCCCAAAAGCACCAGGCTCAGAGTCTGTCCTGCCCCCGGAGAGTTCGCCGCCAGAAGCCTAGCTGTATCAGTGGTGGCACAGTCCACTACTGCAAAGAAGAAGAATGTTAAGATGATCTGGTACAGAGGAGTGGGGCACAAGGACAACTGCTGTCATCTCACCCTGACGTCGTGTACTAATTCTAAGTGGAAGCCCAGGGCCTCTGCCTCTCATTGGGCTGAGAAATACTTCCTGCTTCCAGCCCTACAGAAATGAGAACTGGAGTGAGCAGTTCTTTTGCTTCTATCTCCTATCTACACCTTCAACTCAGTCATAATAAAGATGTGTGGCTGGAGTAAGCCTGTAGCCTCTGTGAATCTTTGAACCCCCAAGTTTCAAGGTAAATGCTGCTTCTCTTTTTTTACCTTCAAGGAAAGCTCATGCAGTTAATGTCTTTTTTAAAAAATAGGGGTTGGGGACTGGAATTCCAGTTCTTAGAAACCTCACAACCATCAGCATGTATCATACAGGATTCTAGCCCTGAAGGCTGCAATGCAATAAATTCAGATTGTGCACCTACTGTATACTGCCCTCTGCATTCACAGATGTAAGCAGGTTTGTCTCCTGCTCTACAAAAATCTTATATCCAGTACATCCTCCAAATTGAAGCATGTGGGTCAATAAGTGTAATTTTAAGCAGATTAACATAATCCTAGTGTGTGTCTAAAAGAAATTCAAGCAATAATGATATTACTATACTAATGCACAAAAAAATCAAATGTTAACAGCGAGAAACTCATTCTGGTGAAGTGGGTCAGAAGTGTTTCTACACCTTGGAGGGAAAGATCAGAGACAGAAAGCACATCCCACTTGATAGTGCAGCTTTCTTGGAAAAGGAAGCACCCAAACAGGGCCTACGAAAAATGGCAGACATTGTCCCTGGAGAATGGAAAAAGAAGAAGCACCTTCTAGGTAGAAGATCCAGAGTAAACCAACATATAGCAAGTATAGCCTGTATTGAATTTCAGTTTGGCAGGAGGGACAAATGATAGATGTGGAAAAAATCATAACCCCAATCCCTTATGTTAATTCAAGCCAGCTGAACTTATTGTATTTAGGATATAATACATAAGCTACTAAAAGATTGTACCTCTAGGCAAGGTCTTGGCCTGGACCCAGAGTCTAATGTCCTCATCTTAGAGGAACCTTATATAAATAATAGGAGTTTAGAGAGGAGCCTGAGATTCAATTATATTGTACATCAATGTAAGTTTTATGTAAAGCTTTTTTTGCTGATATGCATTTTTTAGGGAAATTGTGTGTGTGTGTGTGTGTGTGTGTGTGTGTGTAACCACATATCTGACCCAGAAAATTTTATTGACTAGGCACATAAAAGAATTTCAGCTTATTATTTTCCAATACATAAGATGCCCATTTTCAGAGCTTAGCAACTCTACTGATGCTAAGACTTGATTTTACCTTCATTATAGTATACACCTATATATAGATATGTCATAAGTACATATACTCTATTTTTAAATTTTTATTTTAAAGAGAATAAAACCAAACAAAATAAAACAGAAACAAGTCAATCATAGAAAAACAGTGAAAGTGATACAAGACTTCAAAACAGGAAATAGGAAATCAACAACTGTTACCATAATGCTTCTTGTTATCCTCTAAAATGCTGCCCATACCATCAGACATAATAAAATCAAACAAAGCAGAACTAATAAAACTAACTAAAGCAAAACACTGAAGAAAACAAAATAATAAATTGGAGCAAAACAAAACAGTGAAAACAATATTGGATTTCAAAAACAAGACAGAAGGAAATCTTCCATTGTTATATTGCATATTGTTATCCTCTAAATAGATGTTCAAACTACTAGCTTTAGGCCTGAAAAGCCAATCAAACAATACAATAATTAAATTGTTTTTGTACCTCAGTTGCTATCAACTCAGCCTGTGATCTTCCAAATCAGCCAGTTGCTTATGGGGGAGGGGTCAGGGCTCTTCTCTCCCAGCTTGAGTGCTGGCTGGCTCACTGGCCAGGTGAATTGGCTTCCTTTTTGGTCTTCTGACCCTTCATGGCCACTCCTGGCTCATGGGAAGGGCAAATTGGGTTCTTGTTTCTCTTCCTGGCCCCACATGGCTGCTGTTGGCTCATGGGAGGGGAAAGTTGGCTTCTTTTTTTTACGTGTAATTCACAACTATAATTTTATGTGTAAGATTTCTCATTAAACCAATGACATATACTTGTATGAAAATAAGAAAGGTAATTAAGACCAACCTATGCTTTTACCACCAAAAAATAATCACAACCAATAATTTCTTACATACATTTTTGAACTTTTAAAAAGTCACAAAATGAGGTCATTTCATAGCATTTTGAGAAATTTTTTTACTGTTAGTGGAACAATAACACTTTAAAAATAATCATCAAGACCAGGGAGTTAGCTCAATAGCATAAGTGCCTGCCTGACAAACACAAGGTCATGAGTTCAATTCCTGACACCAATAAATAAATAAATAATAATCATTACTCTTGCCCACTAATAAATGTTGATCAACACTTTTATACATAGTACCAACACACCATTACTTGGGTAACTAGTCTCCTAATATGGGCATTTATGTTATTTCCACTCATTTGCTGTTAAAACAACTGTAAAATAAACATTCTCACTGGTTGTTACTCTTCATTTTGGGGGGATACATTTCTAAATTTGGAATTCTAAAACTCTCAAAAACTATAAAGAAAAATTTGAAAGTCTTCAAAAAGGTTATATTTTGGCAGGAATTAAAATTACTCCATTTAAGAAAATCAACTTTAAGGAATACATAGCTTTCCTTAGAGAGCAACACTAAGTACTATGTGAAAGACCTACTCCATTTACAATGGAAAAAGTACACTCTGTAGGAAGAAACGCTTCTTGACAGTCTTGACCAATAGTCATAAAAGCTCCATTATTTTAAAATTTAGCTATCTGCTCCTTTTGAAGGGAAAAAAGCATTTCATATAACACAAAGCAATACCTTATTGGTGTTGATATACCACTTGATTGATAAATACGTTTGTTTTTGTGTGTTTGTTTCATAGTACTGGGGAATAAACCCAGTGCCTTCATACTGAGTCATAACCTCAAAATTTTTTTCACTTTTAATTGTGTTTTATTTTAAAAAAGCAAAACAAAAATGATACAAAATTTCCAAAAATTATAGGAAATTAACACTCATTAATATATTACATTGTTATCTTAGAAGTAGTTGCTCAGGTTACAAGATCTAGGCATGAAAAAAATGATCAAATAATCAAACAATGAAAGCACAAATTATTCTTTCTGATTAATTAACAGACATTAGTAGTATAGTTGTCTATCTTGTATACATAGACACATGCACACCCACACACAATATTTAAAAACCCATCAGCTATCAAGGTAGAGTGGCACATGACTGTAATCCAGTACTCTCGGTGACTAAAGTAGGAGAATGACAAATTTGAGCTCAGATTGGACAATTTAGTGACTCAGCAAGATCCTATCTCAAAATTAAAAATAAAAAAGAAAAGTGAGGAGACAATATCATATTTGCACATGTGAGTTTGATTTATTTCACTTACAAAATATAGTCTCAAGTTGCCTCCATTTACTTATAAAAGCCTCAAGTTTACCCCTCTTTATGGCTGAGTAGTATTCTATTGTATTAAAACACATCTTTTGTATCCATCTCATGGTTGATGGGAAAAAAAAGAAAGAGTAATAATATCCAAAATGTACAATAGATATTGTGATAATGAAAGGGAAAAAAGTGTTCAAAAGGAAAAACAAAAAACTGAGATGGAGAAAGGAGAAAAGGGAAAAGATTATATGTAAATAGGTATGTGTGTGTGTGTGTGTGTGCATGCGCGTATACCTAGATCTTGTAATTCTTCTCTATGATGAATTTGTTTGTCTTCTTCACTTATTTAACCCCGTCAATTCATTTGTTAAAGTAAACTCATTGGTATTGGAAATCTATTTGTTGTTGTACTTTGAGTTGTAATTCAATGCAGTGATATCTGTTGCGGTTCATGCAGTTTTAGCTTTGAGAATTCTTTACTGAGCTCTTTGGGAGATCAGTTAATTTGTCCCTTTGACTTAATGCCATTGGTTCCCTTTTGAGTAGTTCCTGGTTTTTAGGCCCTAATAGATGCTTTGGTCTCATGCTGTATATACTCTGCCTTACATTTAAATTCTAAATTAAGTCATTTTGTTGTTGTTTTCTTGAGACAGGATCTTGGAATGTAGTTCAGGCTGGGCTTGAACATACTATGTAGCCCAAGTTGGGCACAAACTTGTGGTAATCCTCCTGCCTCAGCCTCCCAAGTGCTGCAGTCATTTCTCTAGTGAGTTCTTTTATGGAAAATAGTTTCTTTTATGGAAAATAGTTATATAAATTGAGGTCTTTCTTTTGGTTGTGTTCATTTACATGTCTGAGAACTCTTCTCCAAATATATAGTTTCAGTTAAATCTTGAATACTTTCCGATACATCTCAATTTGGATTGTCACAGCTATAGCATCAGCCGTGCATGACTTCTGAGGATGTTTTTATACAGGTTGATGATGGTGGCGGGTGGAGTTTTGTAAAAGAAACTTGGTTTAGTCACTAACATGCTCCCTGGACATGTAGAGAATTCATGGACATTCATAAACTGTTGGAGAAATAAAAGGCTAGGCCCTCATCATTGAGGAACACTAAATGAAACAGGTGATGATGATGATGATCATGGTAATAAGAGTAATAGCATTGAGAGCAGCCAGCATTTACATTTGTAAGGAGTTCAGCATATACCAAGTGCTCGCCAAAACACTACACACCTGTCACTCATTTAATTAACACAGCAGCTCTATGAAGCACGTGTAATTGTTATCATCTTATAGATCAGCAGTTGATGCAGAGAAGTCAACTGACAAGCCCAAAGCTAAACAACTAATGAGTGAGGGAGCCTGGATTTCAAAGTAAGTGATCTGCCTGCAGACAATATGAACACCTAGATACTGTGCTATGCCCTTAAATGTACAAAACTTGGTTGCAAATCAGTTGGTCTTGGATTTAATTCTGATCCTGCCCTTATTTTAACTTTGTAAACTGAGTAACACGGCTTTTGTGAAGCTTCAACTCTCATGTGTGAAACGAAAACATAAACAAGCCAAAAGAAATATTTTAATTGAAATTGACTCACATATTCAACAACCTTTCCTAAGTATACACTGTTTTTAAAAAGCTGTGTTTTTGAGATGATGTCATCATTTTTTAAAATATAACTTCAAATTTGTTTCCTGGGGAAATTTTTTCAAGAAAGCTAAGAGTCTT